TGACGATTTTGCGTACCAAGAAGACGCAAGAGTGGCAGTCGAAATTGTTGAAGTTGAACCGCACGAGGAAGCTCCACTACTTGCAGAAGTTCCACAGTTAATTGATCTCGATGATAGTGAGGACGAAGAAAGTGATGATGTTGAGATATTAATTACTACTGATGAGAGCTCTAGCGAAAATGTGTTCATGTCCGATGATGAATTATCATAAAATAGACTTTAATACAAAAGGTGGTTGAACAAATATATTGTTGTATTCATATTATTAACTGTTTTACTAATTAAGTACTCTTCTTTGCAGATGGCTGGTGGAGATAAGGGTAAGGGTCACGCAGAGCAAACAAAGTCCAATACTGGGAAGTGGAAAGAACTCTCTAGGTTGCGACATGCCATCCTTGGTGGTGGTAGATCAAGCGGCACATCGGTCAGCGCATTTGCGAGTGCACCAGGCAGCGCCTCAGGCAGCGCATCAGCGAGGGCATCAGGTACTGCCACTGTCAGAGTGCCTACTGGGCCTCACGGCATGAATGTCACTAGCACCTCTTCCGGAGGGTTTACACGTTCCACTGATGAGTCCAGGATGCACGATGATGAGAGCATGGACTCAGACGAGTCGATAGAGCACGAGCATGACGATGCTATGAACCTGGGACCGAGCGTAGCATACTTTGATCGCTCTAGCAGGTGATTCTACATATATATCTTATTATTTGCATGTATACACGATTATAATATATATTATAATGTTGCAAATATAATATCATGTAGTGTCGTCTTCACGGAAGAGGGAGCTCGGATCATTTGTTCCACATTCTAGCAGAGGCTCGATCCAACAGGGGGTAGTTGGAAGAGCCTAAGCGACGCGACTGTGGACTTTTACTGGAGAGAGTTTAAGGTAAAATTTGGTTAGATACGAATATCAAATGTATGCTTTCTATATTTTGTATTTTATTTAAGATATTTTCTAACATGTCCGGTCTAACTTCTTTTTTTAAATTTAGAAACATGCCACTTGGGACCCTCGCATTGATGATAGCGTTATGTTCCGTNGGAAGGAGGTATTTCTAAATATCTTTTGAATTGATGAGTTATGTTATACTTAGCATCAAATTGTGTGTATATATTTGTATTCTTGTATTTATATGTTGTTAAACAGTATTGGAAGTCACCAAAGTTCTTGGCATCCTCCAAGCAAAACAAGAAAAATCGGCGTGGCGGTGACGAGAATGCCCCTGCTAGCGCCACGCACACCGGTGGTCCATTGTCTTTTCGCGAGACTCAAGCACGCCTTGGAAGTATTGTTAGTAACAAAAATTACCTATAAATGTTCTAAGTGACGTATTTTCACTTATTTATATATTTTATTTTTTTAGGGTAAAAGTGGAAAGGCTTCTGACTTGTACTCTTCGTACACACACACACATACGAAGAAACATGATGGGAAGACCTTCGTCAATAAGAAGGAAGAAGAAGTATCAGTAAGTGACAATGAATATATATAATGTATATATAAATGATTAGTTTTCGTTGGATTCAATTGAATGTGAATTCATACTGCTCATTTTATTTTGCTTTTTATGTTACAAAGTATATATATACATGTATGTTTTGTGTATTGCAGCAAAACTACGTAGCCATGCAAGAGGCAGTTCGTGAAGAGGGCTTAAATGTGACACCTGACGAGATTTTTCTATCTACAGTCGGAGGACATGATGCCAAGAATCGTGTTCATGGTGTTGGAGATCTCGCACGGAGCCTACCACGAATGCATGCAAGTGAGGCAAGACATGCTAGCACCAGCTCTATGTGGGACTCTCGAGATGATGAGATTCGGAGGTTGAGAGAAGAGCTAGATGAAATTAGGGCTTCCCAAGCTCGTGAATTATTGTCGACTAGAGAAGAGATGACCCGACTTTATGGAGGAGTTTTCCCACATGGAAATGGAGAAGGCGGTGGAGATGGAGGAGGGGCGGGATTTGCAGGAGCTTGTTGAGTGTTATATTAGAATTGAAGAACAATATATTAAACTTAAGTTTTATGGTTATGTAAGTGGAGTTAGATTTGATTGTTATGTTGAATTTTTATAAATATTACTTGAAATTTAGTTGTACATTGGTGACTTGAATCTTCTTGGTTGTTTGGTAATCTTCATTTCCAGTAATTGTTGTTGTTTGATGCTGGGATTTCTGAGCTTTGCTATGGATGTGTGCAAAATTGAAAAAACAGCAGCTTCCTGGTACAACCTGTCAAATTGGCGACAGAATTGGCGACGGAATTGCATTTTCGTCGCTATATGGTCAAAATGAATATTCCGTCGCTATTTCCGTCGTCAGAATTAGCGACGGAAATTTTCCGTCGTGAGTTCCGTCGCTTAATTCCGTCGCCAATTCCGTCGTAGACTAGCGACGGAATCAATAATCCGTCGTTACATTTACTACTAACGAAAAATTAACGACGGAACACATTTCGTCGTTATTTCCATCGTTATGGAGATTACCTGCGGAAATAAGGGTTTGGCGACGGAATAATTCCGTCGCCATTTCAGCAGTTTTTTGTAGTGAATACTCTCTGTCTTCATAGGTCCAAAGAGATCTATATGTAGCAGCTCCAAAGGACATTTTGTGGATTGAAACGTCTTGACTGGATGGGTTTTGTGTATCTGCTTTCCCTTTTGGTAAGGCCTGCATACTTCTATCTCCTTATTGATGATTTTTGGTAACCCCCTCACAGCTCCTAAATTTGACAGAGTTACAAGATCTTTGTAATTCAGATGCCCCAGGCGATAATGCCACAACTTTGCATCTTTTTCACTTGCTGAAAAACAGAGTACATTTGGGGTTACTTTATAGCAATTATCTGTTGTTCTGTCGCCTTCAAGCACCACTTGTTTGCTTCTGTCTCTCACTCTGCACTTTTGCTGTGTAAAAAATACTTCAAGCCCTTGATCAGATATTTGGCTTATGCTGAGCAGATTTACCTGTAAGCCTTGGACCAACCATACATTTTTGATAGGTGGTAGTCCGGATACATTAAGTGTGCCACTACCAACTATTTTTCCCTGTGCTCCACCACCAAATCGAACACTTCCTAGTTCAAGCGTCTTGATGTTCATGAGATTTTCTCTGTCACCGGTCATATGATGCGAACACCCACTGTCGAGGAGCCATTGATCTGGAGTGACTCTGTAGCAAGTGTTAGCCACGGAGGCATATTGTTTTGGTATCCAGATTTGTTTGTACCGTTTAGGTGTCCACTGCTTGCTCCACCTTTTAACACACTGACGTTGTATGTGTCCCCACTTATTACAGTTGAAGCATCTGTAATGGTGGTAGGAATTCTTGTACGCGAGCGTTTGATGGTCTCTTTTGAAATGATGTGTGCTAGCGGATGTAGTTTCTTCAGATGCTTTAACAAACTTGACTTCAAGAGATTGTGGCATCTTTCCTTTGTCTGTATATCCAATACATGTCATGTCTCCAGGAGATTTTGCCATAATCGAGTGATGATCTAGCACCTCTGCTCCAGCTACCTAGATCCATTTTTGATAGGACTTTAGTTGATTTAACTCGAATAACAAATTGGATTTTTCTCCTTCAAGTTCTTCAATTTTCTTGGTGAGTCCTTCAATCCTCTCCTTTAACGCATCAACTTCTGAGAGCAGCTTGTTTTTGTCTGTGATATTCCTTTTGTTCACCATCAGGAGTTCTGACCATTTTTTCCGCAGATCCTCTAGTTGTTCTTCAAGACTCTCTTCATCACCTTGATCAACACTTGCAATGAAGGCACAATTAGATTCTTCATAATCACTCTGATCTTCAGTTTCATCATCACTCCAAGTTGCTTTGAAGGCTTGTCTCTTCTTTTTTAGATTATTTGCACACTCAGATTGGATATGACCATATCTGCCACATTCAAAGCACTATGGCCCCTTTTTCTTCATATGGTTAGTTTCTCTATACTTAGCATCTTTTGGTGAGAGTCCCTTAGAGGTGCCTTCAAGTCTTTGATTTGCTCTCTTCTGAATCCATTGTTTCTTGAATTGCCGGGTGAACAGCGATAGCTGCTCTTGGAAATCTTCATCAAGTGACCAATCACGTTCACTGTTATCTTCTACCTCAGTACTGGGAAATGCTATCTGCTTATCAGGTTTCCATCGTTTACTATCTTCTGCCATGTCCAGTTCAATTGATTCCAGTATTCCCATAAGTGCGTCAAGCGTCATGTTTTTGATGTTGTGGGAACGTCTAATGGCCTTGACATCCATTTCATATTCTTTCGGAAGTGATCTCAGCACCTTGAGAACCAGCTTGTTTTCTGGAATGGATTCATTTAGTCATGCAGCCTGATTCGCAATATCCCTAACTCTCCCAAGAAATTCAGTGATCTTTTCCTTCTCATCCATGAGCAGATTTTCATATTGAGTAATCAGGATTTGATGTTTTGCAGTCTTTACTTCCTCATCTCCCTCATGTGTGACCTCAAGAATATCCCAAGCTTCCTTGGCATTGTCACAATTCGAGATGAGCTTGTACTGGGTAGAATCTACTGCCCCAAAGATTGCATTCAGGGCTTTATCATTAAACTCAGCAGCAGTTGCTTCTGATCTGCTATATTCTTCGAACGGTTTGATTCTTGATGTAGTGAGATCATCAGAATATTTGCGTGGTTCAGACCACCCAGTTTCCACGCTTCTCCACACCCCACCTCCAAGAGATTTGAGAAAGTCTCTATCCTGCCCTTCCAGAAATTGTAGTTGTGCCCACGCAATAAAGGTGGTCTCTGAACATTTGCTCCTTCTTCCATGTCTCCCATGATGTGATCGATAGCTAGTAAATTAAGCTATGCAGGCTCCGATACCAAATGAAATTTCCACACCCATAGCACAGTATATAAACCAACTAAACTCACACTTAACACGAGAGAAGGTAGTTGGAAATTGTGTTGTAACGCAGCAACTAAGTTTCACAGAATGCTAAAACAACTTTTCTAACCCCAATTCAACACACACAAAAACAAGTAAAGACACAAAAATTGTGTTATACGGAGTATTTTCTTTTTAATAAATATTTATGCACAAAAATAATTATTTACTCCCTATAATCTAACTTTGATCAAAATAAATAGATAAAGTAGCACTGATGTTTCATTTTTTAAAAAAATTATAATGGTCTAAATCCTGAGAAAAAAATGAATGTTGTATAACACCGGCATGGATTTAATAAAATTGGTATTCACAAGAAAACTATAAATGGCTTTTTAAAAAACTAAAAAAGGAGTACGATATTTAACTTAAATTTAAAAAAGGCAGGTATGAGTCACAATGGCATGTTTAGCAGAAGTCCAGAGCCTATAAAATCTAGGGGAGTAATACATGGCCAGCTACAAGTATGGTTACATCTCTTTCTCCAAATGATATTTAGCACTTGTGAGTTTTTTGTGACCTATAAACCATGCCCGGCTCGGCTCCCTACGTCGATCTTCTCATTAGATATGCCACTAGGCATCCAAGCAAAGCACCGGCAAGAACCTGAAGAAAGAATTTGGTGACTTTTGGTCAACGGAAAATTATCACACTCCCTTTTTATTCCTTTTTAACGGATCATTACGACGTTTTTGATACATTATAAAATGAACGAGTGCAGATGCTTGTTTACATCTTACTTTTGATGATGTATCACAAAAGTCATAATGACCAATTTAAAAAAGAATGGAAGTACTCCATAATTTTCATTTTTGCACAGATGAAATTTGAGTAGCATTGCATCTTCTGGTGTGAGTGAATGAATGCAAAATTGATTCATAAACAGACCAAACAAGCTGAATTGATTGAAGAAATATTAGTTTAGTCATTTTAAGACGAGGAGATTCTTGAGATGCCCTCATAGTCCCTTATGAAAAGTGACCAAGAAAACAAGAATTTCAAACACTTCTTTGAAAATATAATAAAAATCCATCAATGAGGCAAGAATGCAAGGTGGAGTTTTCCTGTATCACAAAGTTGGAGGGGTGTCCTTTTCTTTGAAAATATAATAAAAATCCATCAAGGAGGGAAGCCACTAACGAATAGTTTATAATACTGTATCTATTTCAAGATGCAAGGATGCATTTAAATGAAGGAAATAAAGATGACTTATAGTTTACCTGAAGAGGTGTGTGGCCAAGAGAATCCCGTAGAGGTCTAATACTAGCAACTGGATGTTCCGGAGGCAATTCACAGACAATTTGATTTAACAACTGCATACAACATCAAAAACTACGTGCTCAGAAATTTTTAGCAAGAAATTTTTCTTATTTTGCAGAGTAAACATTTCAATAGCATCTGCATAATGGAGAAGAGCACTGTGAAGGATTGGAGATTCAGAGTAAACTTTTCTTAGGTGTCCATTTACCATATTTGAAAAATAAAACATCAACCATCCAACGTAACTGACACTGAAGATTACTCCAAACATTTGGTTACATATATACAATAAAAAACACCCGTAGTGACTAGTATTGTTATTTTATCGTAATACTTAAATTTGAGATATTTTAGTATGTGGACAATTGGGATGAAGGGAGTACTTACCAAAACCATTGTATGCAAAAGCACCAAAGGTTAAAATCGTACTTATAGCCCATAAAAATCATAGTTCTAGAAAATATATAGTAGAATCAGCAAATTTGCCACAACAGATTTCACCATTATTTGTGGTGATACCTGAGAAATATGTCGTATTCTCGTGTTCCATCTGTTTTGAATTTCTTACATTTACTAACTATAGTTCTTGAAATACTTGGGGCGTACGAATTATAATTCAATTTCTGCTTAGAATGTTTGAGGTGTAGGTAAGTGGTCCACCCATCCACCTACATCCAATAGGTTATAGGTTCACGCCTCCTTTCCCTCTAGGCCATATGAAGATGATTTGAGACAATCACCAGAACTACACATCCTTTCAAAACCTATTTTCACTAGAGAACCAAATAATTTAAACTTGATTGTCACTTTATTCATAAAAAGTTTGCTTCTCATGATATAACGATCACATTCATTACTAAGTCCCTTGAAAACTCAGGATAGAATAGATATGTGACAGTATTGGAGCTTTTGAACTACATGTTCAGCCTGAGGGGAGTGTCAAACAATATCTAAAAATAGTCTTCAAACACAGTTTCGTGGTATCTCCTCTGCTATACATGTAAGATATACAATCTCTTTTCTTACTCTTGCAAAAGGTTAATAAGGGTTAAGGACTTACTTCAGCTTGTCGACCAGCATGTTGCCTAACACCAGTAGCATCATACATTACCTATAACAATATAAAACTGTAAGCCGAAAGACCCAAGTGTGTGCCAGACATATGTACCATACACGTGAAGCAACATCAGAAGGTGATTAGTGCATAAATGTTTCAGTGCATCACATATAAGTCTCAATCCTATAAGGTTCACAAAAGCCACTAGCACATGCCAAACCAAGGTATATGCTAGAGAAAATAACAAGAATAATAATTAAAGTGGTACATACAAGTAACGGTAATGCAGTCGTGCTCGACACGTAAAATCTAATGTATTTATTTTACTGTGTCATTTGAGCAAGGGAACGTTTTACAAAAACACCCAGAAACACAAATAATGATACACATACATAAATACAACGTCTAGCTGTCTAGCATAAAACTTTAATACTGCTTTTGCATGGATTTATGATGAACTTATAGTCTTAACTAAGGACATTTAAAAATTCATGTCCCCAAACCGGTGTTATTCAATGGTTGGGATTTAATGTCTGTTTTTAAGATTTTCTGCATGTTATCTAAATTTTACAAATTAAGTTGTGATGAATAAATCTTGAAAGCAGGCTTGCAACATAATAGGTTAAAAGCTAAAGTATATACGGGAATTAGAAGGGTATAGAAATGGAAGGCAAACATAAGAAATGAAAAGATAGCACAGAAATTCACACATACCCAAATGCTAAACTGAATGATCAAGGATTGTAATTCAAAGTCTCTTGACAAAAGTTAAAACAGACAGAACTATGCAAGAACAGCAAAAACCTGGTTTAGAAAGTACATACAACACAAGCTAAAACCACTGCAATAGCAAAAGCCGGTCCCCCCGCTCCATCTTGCAGTGCTATTGCCATTGCGAGGGCAGTAACTGTTGCCGCATGTGAAGATGGCATTCCGCCAGAGCTTAACATCCTTCTTGAATCCCACCTCTTTTCCTTATACCTGAAGAAATGAAAACAATAAAGACCCAAAAAACAAACAAAACCAACAAAATCGAATTTCATTTTCCAGCTCAAAAAAACCCAATCCAGGTATCAATTTGATTCAAGTCCATTAAGCAAGTTCATTTTTTTAATACATCAGGCTCAGAAATGAAAAGGATTTACTGTTATACACTTGAGAAGACTCCAAACAGAAGCAGCCATCATCAGAATTCATAACCATACGAAACCATATATCAATCCCAGTAATAAAAAACTGATTATAACACAGAAAAGACCAAAATTTTGTCAATCAGAAAAAAAGTTCAAGGGTTTACCAGGTGGTAAAGAGTTTGAGAAATTGCGCAATTGCGCAGGCCAGGAAAGCTGTGAGGAGAGGAAGGTTGGAAGGCACTGCCTGAGGCTCCGACGAGTAAGATCGAGCGCTTGCCGATGCATCCCTCGTAACCATTACTTCGTCCATCGTTTGTAGAAAAAAATAGAGAATTTCGGTGGGATTGATATAAATAGACCGCTTTCAATTTCGAAGAAGAAAGAACGGTGAAAGTTTGGTTCTTTCCTTCGATTTAGGGTTGATGTACAGAGGAGTCTTTGAGCAGCGGAAAAGGCCTCCTCGCCGCCGTTGGTGTGGACCGGAAGGTTCCCGTCGAGAATCGAGATCGGCGGAATGTGGAGTTTAGCCGTTTGCACACAGCAGTCGATGTTGGTTGGGGAAAAAGATAAAGATTGCAAATTGGAAGGTCGACTGAAGAATTTGCCAGATGACACGCTTGACACGTCTATAAAACCTGCGTGGGTGAATGGTGATAATGTGATATCAAAATTAGGTTGCTTTCCGGCATACCTATCTCCATCAACTCATCAACCAAATATTAAAGGAAGCAACTCAGCTGAGCTGGTTGTGGAGTTACCTTCCAGAGGAGAGGTCTCGAGTTCGAGTCTCACTCTACGCCAGTGGAACTATGCCTCCTCAAAAAACTCTTCAAGTGGTAGGGCCAAGCGGTGTATACTAACCCGTAGGGCCAAGCCAAAGTTGGGTTTCTGGGGTATGGGGCCGCGAAAGCGGTGGGGCTAGTCACTATAAAAAGTTTACCCTACCACAGTTTTAGCCCGCATGAGTAGCTCAATTGGTCAAGAGCGTGAAATCTTGGACCGATGACCAGGGATCGAGTCCTGCAAGCGGCAGTGTGGGAGCTATCCAAAAATCCCATAAAGGGTGAGGAGGCTCCTTGTGCGCGGTGGGCACGGGTCTAGCGTTCTTGGCCGACTGAGTCACCATGATTTACATCCTCCACCATTCCTGTCGGGCAAGGGGGTGGGGGCGCTTGGGGTGGGCGATTCCACCTTTTGGACCGATCAACCAAATATTAAAAAAAATATCTAAAATAATCTAAACTTTTATTAAAATTTGTGAGTTCTGGTTGTTCGTTAAGTTGCTAAATGCGCTAAACAGAAACGACATGTTTTGCACAAGAAAGTGAAAATTGAGATTATTTTGATGAACTTTCATTTTTTTTATTTTTTCCTGAAATTTCCATTAAAACTTTTAAAATTACTTTCTACCTCCATCATATCTTTTTTTAGAGATTAGTCTTACTTTAAAAAAAAATAGATATAAAAAATAACGAAAATGAGAAGAGTAACTAAACCGATACAAAACTAATACTCGGGTAAAATAAATAAGGTAATCAGTAGAATCTAACTTGAAACTAGTAAGAAATAAAATAAAAATATACTGAGTGGTGGGTTTTAATATTTTAGGCACTATACAAAGTACTTATGTACCACTTCTTCTTTTTTAGAAAAAAATTATCTTGAATAATTTTAACTTTATCGATCGACATGTTCTTTCAAAAAATACGCAGTACATTAAGATTATGTATATTTCTTAAAATGCTAAAACTCCTCGATAAATATTTAATTTATTTCTTACCAGTTTCAGTCAAACTTTTATTGATTACCTTATTTATTTCATTAATTTTGTATGGTTTTAGTTATTTTCTCATTTGAAAATGAAATGGAGGTAAAAAGTAATTTGAAAATTTTAAATAAAAAATCCAAAAAATTGAAAAACAAAAATTCATTAAAAATAATCTCAACTTTCATTTTGTTGCGCGAAACAGGCATTTTCGTTAACCCGTCGTTAGTAACTTAGCGGTGATCCGAAACTCGCTAATTTCGGTAAAATTGAAATTATTATATATATCACTATCAAAGGTGAGATTATTTTTTAAAGACAATGTACAGTTTGGACTATTTTCGATAATTTTTCCTAAAAAAAGGTGGAAAACTCACCCCGGCGCCCCCACACCCCTGTCCGACAAGATTGTAAGCGGGATAAATCATACATGAGTGCTTCTATGATGCACTTTGGGAGTGCATATCATTTTTGTGAATCTTCTCACATAAACATAAAAGATCACCGAAGATTGTAAGGGTATTTTAGCTCAATTTTGTTTGGTCTTGATTCTCATATTTCTCACGAAGCTAATAGTACTACTCATACGCTTGCTCGTAGAGCAGGGACCCAACCTTCTACGCAGATGTCATTTCTCCCAGACTGTGTTTCTCATTTATTGAGGTGATATTGAAATTTGATTTCCTTCAAAAAAAATAACTATAATTATTTTTAATAATAATAATAGACTTTAACAATAACTATTTTTTAATTATAATTATAATTATAATTAAAGATGATAATAATCATCATTACTCATAACATAGAATAATAATAATAATAATAGTAATAATAAATATATTATAATAATAATAGTTATAATTATTAAATAAAAAATGATAATAATAATAATAATAAATAAAGTTATAATTATTAATAATAAAATTATTATTGTAAATATTTTAATAATGATTAATAATATAATAATAAATTATTATTATTATTATAAATTTTATTGTTATTATTAATCTAACTATTGGAATTAAATCCTTTAAGACCAGATCAAATTCATTCACATCAGATAAAATTCATCCAGATCAAATAAGATCGATTTAGATCAAATTTATTTCAAATTAGATTGATTTAGATCAAATTTAATTAGATCAGATCAAATCCATTTAGATAAGATCATATTATCAATTTAAAAAAAATAAAATTCAATTCATCCTTAAAAAAATATCCTTCCTTTTTCAACTTATTAGGCTCCCTTCCATTCAAGTTATTTTTTCTGATTTGATCTGATTTTTGTAGTTCTGATTGGATCTGATTGCATCTGGTCTACTCTGATTGGATCTGATTTCATTTGACTTTATAATAACTTTTGAAAATTGTAATGACAATTCATATTATAATATAATCAATAGTTTTTATTTTATGATTATATTTTTATTTTATGGTTATTTTTTTATGAAATAAAAATATTGATTTAATATTTTAATAATTAGTTCATATATATACTTTAGGATAAATATTTAATTCATATATACATTAAAAAGTAATTAAATTTATTTTTTGAAAGAATCATAGCAAGTAAAACATGTAAAAAGTATGAAATTTAAAAAATATGGAATAATAACGACAATGATGATGATAATAATAATAATTCATAATAATAATGATGATGATAATTATAACAATAAGAATTTTTGATTGGATCTGATCTGATATGATTGAATCTGATATGATCTGATTGGATCTGGTCTAATCTGATTTGATTTTAATAAGAATAAGAATAAAGTAGAAATAAAATCTGATCTAATATTAATATGAAAAAACGCCAATCGATTCCATTGCATATTTCCTCTCCCAACGAAACAGGAAGTAATTCGCATCCCCTGCACCAAGTTGTTCGTGCAATTCGGCCTATATCAACACTCCAGAGACGGTTCTCTTTTCAATTCGAACCAGGCACGTTCCAAATTGCTCTAAAATCATTTTGTTTTAGATTCTAGGTTTTCCAAATTTCTAAAAGATGGAGTATATTTGTTTCTTAATTAAGTTCTTCAAACTTTTCAAATAATTTGATTTCATATTTTTTTGTACACATTCCATATGTACAAGGGATTAGGAGTTCATTTGCAAGTAGTCAACCAGTTAGATTCAAAATGATCCGGTTGTCCATTTGAGGGGAGTGTTAGAGTTTATCCCACATCGGAAGTTGAATAAAAAGTTATCGGTATATAAGGTATTGAGTTGAACTAAGTAATCGATTGGATTTAATCTTTTAATACGTTTGAGCTTATATACCGATTATTTTACTCTTGCACTTCCGATGTGGGATGCACTCTAACATTTAAAATTTCAAATCCAATACTTCAACTTCCATTAAGATGCGGGCGGTTGTGGGAGGAGACTTTGGGTCCAATTAGTTTATGACTAAAATTTACCATTGGTCCTTCAACTTTATGAATTGTGCACGATTGGTCTTTCAAGTTTCAAAAGTCCATGAGTAGTCCTTCAACTTTATGAGTTGTGCACGATTGGTCCTTCAAGTTTCAAAAGTTCATAAGTAGTCAGCATTCCAAATGAAGTCCTTTTGACAGTAAACATTAAAAGCTAAATGAAATACTAATTCCATATAACACGAGTGAATTTCATTAGGTACGACTACTCTGTTTTATATAGAGCTAGTACTCCATTTAACTTTTAACATTTACTGTCAAAAGAACCTCATCTGTAGGGCTGACATATACTTGAAGGACTACTTATGGACTTTTGAAACTTGAAGGGTCAATTGTGCACAACTCATAAAGTTGAATGACTATTAATGGATTTTTGAAACTTGAAAGACCAATCGTGTACAACTCATAAAGTTGAAGGAACAATAGTGGAGTTTAGCCTTAGTTTATTCATTATGGATGTTGTCTTCTAACTTTATGCTGGTTGTGATTTCTAGTGGTATAAGTATAATTTCCAGCTGGGTCAATTTATAGTGTTTTTGCTTCCTGGATGTTTGAATATTAGTATATGGAATGTGTAGAAATATCATATGTGAGAGAGATTTGTAGTAATATCAAGTTTTTTACCTGAGTTGTACGTGTAGATAGCAGTACTGTCATATTCCATAGTGTATATATGCCATGTCTATATGATGTAGATCTATATGGTTCAACTAAAACTTATTTTAAAATTTGTAATTCTATTAGTGCAAATGGCAGAGTGTTGTGTTCATAACAAACACATACATGTGGGTTTGAGTCCCAGAAAAGTTAAATAACCTCGATCTTTTCCCTATTCTTGCATCAAGATTGGTCGAATTCTAACACCTCCCTAGTCACTGAAATGCTAAACTGTGTGTCGTAGTCGTACCAATGACCGTTAATAATCGAACCATTAATACTCTACAGACGTCTGAAATCAGCGCCATTCCCCTTTCCCAGCCCGAGTCCAACATAGCACCATATTGACATATATGATAACACCTGATGTCAAAATGTGACATTGGGTATTGGGTTCATAAGAATCAAACCCCGATAAAGTCAAAGTTTGTACAATACAAAAACAAACTGGCAAAATGACATTTTCATAAAAAGGATTTTACAACACCCTTAACCCAATATTCTGGGATACTTGCGATTTTTGGCTAAGATTAAATCGAAAGATTATCAAAAGGCATTAAATTTGACAAAAAATATATCGCATTTTACGTTCATCAAAAACTCTCCAGTCAATTAAGATTAATATCAGCTAGGGCTCTTGAGATGAGGATCTTAGGGTCTCAAAATTAGTTCGACAAAGTCAGAAAATCTAATATAGTATTAAAATAGTAAAAAGAGCTGGAGTAAAGTAGGATTCAATGTATGAGCCTTGCATGAATTAAAGATAAAGGTATGATAAAGATATGATTTTTATATGTATAATTCTTTCTAGATCTGTAATTACAACACCTTGGTCATTAAATAATTCAGAAGATTCACAAGAAATTTATAAAGGAGTATTTCGTATTACTAGGACTTACTAATCTTTTATTCCATAACTATATCTTTGATGGATTAGAGGTTACAAATAATTGGTCAATCTGTCTTTACATGGCTATGAGCGTGGAAAAGTGATGAACTATTTATTTATAACTAACTCTCTACCTCCCAGTAGAAATTAGAGGTAAATCACTTGTTGAGATATCATGTTCTTGTTGTAAATAGTAGAGCCTGGCAAATGGTCCAACAAGGCTTGCTGTATTGTAAGTGCATGCCTCTGATTGCATGTAATTTCCCCTTCTATCTTCAAATTGGTCGTCCATATCCGGCCCGCCCACAACCGCCCCGACAACCACATTCGGGTTCGGATCCCGACGACCAAAGTAAGTGAAGTACCCCTGCATGCACCCGATAAAGCTCTTTTCGTGTTTGTATGATACAATGGATGCAGCCCTGTGGTGCACCCGTTGGGGATACTTGGGACCGAACCCGACCAAGTAGCTCGTACCCATCGGATTCATTCCGAGGATATAGTCAACCTGTGATTTTGCGAATGCAAAGAGCTCGTCGGGCCCCACTGACCCGCGCTCACAAGAAAGAATGTCATTGGTTGACCTGAGGTGGTCAGAGTACACGGTCATGAGGAAGGCCGCGGACGAGACGTACTGTAGATTGTTCCATCTACGGACGTACAGCAAGCCTCCCGTAGTGCGTCGCACGTTGCTGCTGCTTGAGTTGTTCATGTTCAGATTGGCACACATGTAGTATTCGGCTTTGGTGCGGTATTCCTTTAGGACTTCACTATGTTCCCCTTTGTGCTTCCCCTTTGTAGCCAACTTTATATATGTGGATACAATCAAAACACCATTGTTTAGTCATTAAATTGGAAATGGTAGATCAATGCAAGAGTATATTATTACTGTATTATGCATGTCTAAATATGTATGTGGATGTTTCTTTGTATTTATAAGCTAGTCAAAACTGTTTATAAATAGATTTTAAACTTATAAGTCAGTTGATGACATGTACTTCTGTGTTTACAACTTGACTTACAAGTTGCTTATAAGCTTGAAAAAATAAGCTAGTTTTTTGGTTTCTTCATTTTGACCAGATTATACCTTGGCAAGAAGTACTTGGATGCCAGCGTGCTTGACGTCCCAGCTGAACTCGGTCATGCCCCAAGTGATCCCTCCAAAAGATTTGGCATTCTCAATGACATAATTCAAGTAATAGTTGTTGTCGGTAGCCTTGTAAAGCCACAAAGCTCCCCACAACAGCTCGTCTTTATAGCCACTCAAGGACGGGTAGTACCCCTTGGCGGCCTCAACGCTCTCGTCATATCTCCCTCTAAACTTGTCACCGAACTCGAATAGCTGTTCAAAAACGCAACACCCCTCACGATTTTGTTTAGAAGAGAAATGTATTTTGGAAGATTAGAAAATTAGTGGTCTTATTTTAGTTTTTTTTTCTTCTAATGTTCTATTTTTGGCAGGGTAGATTTAATTTATTAATGCAATATATATACCTGCTGGGCATGGGCTAGGAGAAGAGAAGCGTAATGGGGGTTTGTTGTGCGGAAGACGATGGAGGCAGTGGCCATTGCGGCAGCGGTCTCGGCAGCCACGTCGGAGCCGGGTCTGTCCTCGTCGATTTTGTAGGCTCTGCGAGAGGTGGCCATGTCTTCAGGCCTTTGCCAACAGTAGTGATCTGTGCCCCCGTCACCTACCTATAATATATACACACATAATTCACCAATAAATATTTATAGTTCCTCTGTATTTGAATACATAATATATATATATATATATATATATATTTCACCATATATCTTTGACTTAATTGCCTTGTATTTGTACATATATACTTTGTGCATTCAATGGATTCAAAATGAAAGACACTAACCTCACACGTTTCAAGTTCAGTTTTGATAAAAGAGTTAATATTTTCCATTGAAGCTTGACAGTCTTTTAGGGTGTGTTTTACAAACACCAATTAGCAACTGCCTTTTCATGTTTGCCTAATACAGAGTAGTTTGCACTATACTTTGTTCTAGTGCACAACAAAACTAGATTAACTTTAATTACTATAATGGGTGTTTCATAACTTGGATTTTGATTTCAAATTTAAATTCGGTTCAAATTCCTTGTTTAGGAATTTTTAAAAATGAAAAATTTGCAAATAATCCATGTTTAGGAATTTTTAAATAATGAATAATCACTAATGGATAATGACCAATGATCCTACTATGGGAAATAAAAATATATGGTTCTATATTAAAAAAGTCATTGTATTTTAGTCATATTTAGGTAAATTCCTCTTTAGAAAATTGGGTTTGAATTTGAGGCAAATTCTTCTAAATCATAACAAACTCAATTTGAAATCTGTATATATCTCCTAATGATATTTGAAATTCAAGAATTTAAATTTAGAAATTGAAATAAAATGTTAGTTGTCAAACAGTACTTATACATAAATAAAAATTGTACGGAGTATTTGGTATTACTAAAAAAATAATTTCATAATCAATAACCTTGATTTTTGTGTTTTGTAAAAAAAAAAACACAGCCTTTATTTTGATTGGTCGGAAATGTGGTTTTGAAAGAAAACATTTGTCTAAAATATTACTCCGCAAATGATGTTGAGTATTGACCAATCACCCCTTAATTTACGTACAATTTTTAAAAGGGGGGAGTCTTAGAGAGACGAAAGTGCAATAAATGTGAACATTAGTTTGTTGAGCGATAAAGCATTAGTGGGACATCCTTGTAATACAAAATAATTGTGCGATTATTAGTTTCAACCGTCTTTTTTGGCGCAATTGACGCAAAGACCTCCGAACATTCTGAAATCATTCTACACCTCCTTATTCTCCGCCTAATAATACCTTCTATTTCGATTTCTTTTTAAAAGTGTTTTTTCCCCATTTTATACTCCTCTTAGTCACAAACATATAGGGCTTGTTTGGGAATAGCGTTAGAGATTAGCGTTAGCGTTTTGGATAAGATTTTAACGATGCAGATTACTTTGAAAATGCTAACGCTAAACGCTGGCCGTAGATAGTCTTTTCAAAACGCTAACGTTAATCTCTAACGCTATTCCCAAACAGGTTCATAGTTCACAAACTTCACAAACTTGCCTTTTGTGGATTTTAAATTAAAATATATTTTATTATTTAAGTGCATCTTATTTCAAAGAAAATGCTAAAAAGGTAAGTTTGTGAATTTTGTGAACTGTTTGTTTGTGACTCTATCATTACTCCTAAATTATACTCTCCCCTTTCAAAATGTTTGCCACGTCACGAAAAAAGAAATGAAATTTTTTGAAATTTCAATTTATTTTATTTAAGAATTAGTATAGAATTAAAAATAAATAAATTTTGCGCATTTAAAAATTATGTGTAAAAAGTTCCTCAAAATAAAATTATGATAAAAAAATTTATTTTATCAAATAAAAAAAAATGAAAACATGCAAAGAGAAAAATTTTCATGATTTTTTTTATTAGCGAACTGTACTAATTTTTTTTTAAGGGGAAGAAATTACGGGTAGTCCAACCATCTTATCATATTCATTTTCCGGTAACACATGTGCACATGTATTCAATTCCTCGTCAAGAAAAGAGAATTGTATTAGTCTCATTTTAAATTGTCTCTTTGCTTTTTTTCTCCATTCCAAAATAAGTTATCTGTTACTTGTTATCGTAAACTTTTAAAAGTAAGATACCTAACCTACCCCTAAAATAAGTCACTCTTTTTCACCTTATCTTCTCATTCATCGTCACTCCTCTTAAAAAGTAATGACAATTTCATAAAATCAACTCTATTTTTTCTCTTCCTTAAATATGCTTAAAAGTCAAAACAAGTGATTTAAAACGAGACGAGGGAGTAAAAAATAGAGTAATACTGGTATATTTGGCACTGCTATGAATCTCATAAATGAGAAATCATGTGTTCCATCCTCAGAACGAACAGTAATTCTACGAGCTTCAATAAGTTAAAAATATATGAATAGATGTTATTACGTACCTTGTAATAGAGTTATTAATTTGAAAAATTTTAATGTTTTTGGAGAGAGACTTTTTTAAATTCTAAATCATGAACAAATTTTATACTCGAGATAAAGATTTAATAATGAGACGGATCAAATATACATGCATCTATAGAACTAGTGACTAGTGGACTACTCCGGATACATTACTCCGTATGAAGTTAACATAGTTGCATGTAATTCGCCACATTATTTGGAAGTTGTCTCATTTAGAGCAAAAGAATATTCTCCCTCTGTCATTATTCTGATTACAAATTACAGAAAACGAAGAAAAATTTCTAATTTTTTAAATTTATTTTATTTAAAAATTAAGATATAAATAAGAAATAAAATTTACATATTTAAAAATTATATCAAAAGTTATACAAAATAAGAATTGATAAAAATATTTTATTTTATTAAATAATCAATGAATATATATATAAATAATCAAAAGTTATTCCTTGAAATAGTGAACATTGTAAACAATTATGGGATGGAGAGAATATATACTCCTTAGGTCTTACTTCTTCAATTCCATTTGTAGTGTAGTCCATCCATTTCATAAAACAAATCCAATTTTATTTTTTTTATCTTTCCATAAAGCACTCTCATCTTTATTTAAAAAAATCTATTTGATACTCCATCATATTATCCTTTTTCTCAATATTATACACTGAAGGAGAAAAATAGAAAATAAATGACAAAATACATTCTTTTTAAACATGTCAAAAGTCAAAATAAGAATTATTTTTTAAAACAGACCCAACTATAAAAAAAAAGAGATATAGATCTAGTATATGTTTACAATAATCCATGGCCGGTGACAAAGTGACAATAGGCCGGGGATGATGAAGTTTTTTGCATTGACTCTCAAACAAGGCATTCAATTCATTGAATAAGGATGATGCGATTCTTAATTAATAAGGAGTAATGTTTCAAATTTTAATTAGTGCTTTTACTAATGAGTTACTTTTATTATGGTCTTAAGACGTACATATAAAATATTCATTTTTTCACATATTTTTATGGAGTCACAATGGGATCTTTTACTTATACAAGACTCATTGGAAGAATTTGTCTTCAGGCTAATAATAATCTTTTCATTTGAAGTAAGATTTACCCAATTAACTGAACTGAGTTTATTTAACAAAATTGAATTTATCTGCATTAATTAAACATATAGGTCATGTTCGACCTTTTCAGTTTATTGTTGCACTTATTCAAATGTATATTGTTGATAATTTTTTATGTCTCAATAATGCAATATTTTTCCCTTCCTGTTAGAATATAAATAACTGTTTCTGGGCCACAACCACAAGCTTGAGCTTTTGGTTGAGTTGGTTCCTTGACATGGTATCGGAGCCTCGTTGATTAAGAGGTCACGGGTTCGAAACTCAGCGCCACCCAATTTAAAAAAATTAAGGTTTCACGTGCAAGGCTCGAAAAAGAATACGCCTGCACGTGAGGGGGCGTGTTAGAATATAAATAACTGTTTCTGGGCCACAACCACAAGATTGAGCTTTTAGTTGAGTTGGTTCCTTGACACTTCCCAAAATGAGAGTCAACAAGTATTTCTATCAAATCATAAATTTTCAAACAAGTTGTACATGTTGCTCAAACAATCGTTGCACACTTGATATGAAAAATGTCACCGAAGTGACTACCAACGCACTGACATGAAAGGATATAGACTTGGTAGAAATTAAAAATAATTTAGAAACCCGTGAAGCACTTTCAAAAATATATAGAAATCTAATAAATACTTAAAATAATTTGAGAACTTGAGAAGCATTTTCAAAAAAAATAGGAACCTTATAAGCCACTCTACCCAAAAAAGAATGTAGTATCCCGTAAAAAACATGTTCAAGAAAGATGAGAAAAAAAAGATCTATTATTTCATTCTATTAAATGTTGGTTTTTTTTTCAAAAATAAAAAAAGAATTGTTCGTTTAAATAATCAATGATTACTCACTCCAAAGGTAAAAGGTAAAAAATAATTAACCTGGACCCAAAGGACATGAGGACGAGTGTGAGCCTTGACGAAAAAGTCAGTCCCCCACTTGATGGCCTCGAGAGCGTGGCGGGACTCGCCGGCGGCGTCTATTTCCTTGCCGTACTCCAGCACCGCCCACGACAAGAGCGTCACCGTGAACGCCATCGGAAGACCGAACTTCACGTTGTCGCCGGCGTCGTAGTACCCTCCGACCAAGTCCACCTGTACGTAGTCCATCTCCATCATATCACACATACACTAATTCAAACTGTACCAATCAATCAATCAATCAATCATACCCCTTGCTGGAGGCCGTCGGTGAGGCCGGAGTGGTGGCGCCAGGACACTCTCTGGTTGTACGGCAGCCGGCCGGAGCGCTGCGCCTCGAAGTACAAGAGGCTCTTCGAAAGGGCTTCTTTGTAGTCCAGAGAGAAACAGGATTGCAGTAAGAGGGGGGCAAAAATGGAAACCGCTGAATACCATTGCCCAACATAAATGCTGCTGCCTTTTCGTCTCTTCATCTCCATGGCTCTTGGGTTTCTTCTTCAATTCTTCGATCTTCTTTCTTTCTTGAAGTTTCTGTCTCTGGTTATTGTATGTGTATATATATTTGGGGCATGGCAGTGATGAGAATGAATGGAAGACGACAATGGGCTCTTAATCTGCAGGATGAGATGTATAGTGTTATGTTTCTGGGCGGTAGATTTCGGCAAGAGGAAATGTATGGTAAATCTCAGACTTGGAAGGTTCATATACTCTGCTTTCCATGTGAAGATGTGCAATGCATTATTAATATTGCTCCGTAATATACATACAATCAGGAGATAAATTGTTTGTTTATGAAAACCAGTTTTTTTTAGCAACATTTATCCTTGAAGTCTTGGTAAAGTGTATGTTTTTCTCCCCACCTTTTTAAAATGTACCATTAGCCTCACTACTTTCTATAAGGTGCATGCTTTACTAACTTTTTGAAAAATACTACTTCTTCCGTCCTAAAATGTTCTTCCTAGTTACTTTTTTTACGGTCAAACTTTAATCACTTTCTTTACCTATTTTCATTAGGTATTTGATAAAATAATATAGTCTTGTCACCACTTATTTTGTAGAATTCTTGATATAGTTTTTAAATATATAAATTTTATTTTTTAATTTTACACCTACAATCCAATAAATTGAATTGAAAATAAAATCGGTCAAACCTCGTAAACAAAAACGGGAAAAACATTATAGGACGGGGGAGTATATCTTTCTCCTTCGAATTTTCACAAGTTGTTAAATATATTCTATATTTATGTTAAATATATATTCTATATTTATTGTATGTATATTGTTTCCTATTATAGAATCCTACCATGATTAGGATTAGGAATAGCTTGTGTATATAAACACATGTACTCCCACATTATTGTTTAAGCAAATTCATAATTCTTCATGGTATCGGAGCCATCTTCCTAAACCCAAAAACCCTAACCCTACCCGTGCTCTCTCCCTCTCGGCGTGCTCTCTTCCAGCGCCGCACACCACCCGCCGTCCTCCTCTCCTCGGCGGCAGCAGCAGCGCAGCACAGCCCCTCCCTTCCTCGGCGACGACAGCGCCCTCCCCTCTCAATATGGCTTCCTCTGATAAACCCTCAGAAAACTCAACCTCTTCCTCCTCCTCGAATGCTCCTCATCTTGCCTTCACAACAATCTCCAACGTCAAGCTTCATGTCCCGATTCAGCTAAGCTTTTCTCAGCCCAACTACAAAAAATGGAGCCGGCTCTTTCTCCTCCTGGTGCGCCGATTCACCCTCCACGGGTTTCTCTCAGGTTCTACTACTCCTTCTTCTGCCGATGATGATGAATGGTACCAACTTGACGCCCTGATCCAAGGTTGGATTCTCTCTACCATCACTGACGAAGTCTCAGATCTAGTTATCTCCACCACCACCACCGCCGCTGAACTCTGGCGGGTTATTCATGCTCTCTTTCATGACAACAAACATGCTCGGGCGATGCAACTCGAGCACCAGTTTCGAACCACCATCAAGGGTTCGATGACCATGGCCACTTACTGTCAAACTTTGCGAAACATTGCCGATTGGTTGGATGATGTTGACGCTCCGGTCTCTGAGTCTCAACTTGTGCTTCAAATGCTTCGTGGGCTACCCGACGATCTCCAGGCTCAGACATCGTTCTTGCAATTCCAACAACCGCTGCCCACGTTCCTTCAGACCCGATCCGCTCTCCTTCTCCTTGAACGGCAACGACAAACCATTATGGACGACGCTGGCACGGCGCTCATGGCTGGCCGAACAGGCAGCTCACCATACGGCGGCAGTAGCGGCGGTTTTGGGCGCAGCGGTGGGACGCCCGGCAGTGGACACAACGGCGGCAGCGACGGCGGTCACGGGCAGCAGGGGCGCAACTCCGGTCGCAGTGGAGGCGGCCGTGGACGTGGACGAGGAAGAAACTCTGGTTCGCAACGACACCCGTATGACGGCTACGTACCTTGGAACTCACCGCATCCCAACCCGGGCTCGGGTCTCCTCGGCCCGCGTCCACCCTACCCAACCCAACCCAATGCCCATGCACACTACACCTACACCCCAAACACCCCACCCCAACCCTACGGCC